GCCATTGATCTCAGTATCCTGATCGGCAAGGGCGACTGTCCACAGGCTGTTTTTGGGTGTTTTTTTTGGGACAGGCTGAAGACAAGACAAGACATCATTTTTTTTTAACGAACTAAACATAGCGAATTTTTGGAATCTGAATTGAAATGTGTTCAGACTTTAGGAAGAAACATCTTTCATTACTTGGAATTAGAATTGAAATTCGATCAGAAAACTTTAGGAATCATTTTATTTTCCATATTTATCTATCCATGTAGCTATATAATTATATATCCAAAATCATCCATATATTTCAATTATCCATATAACTATCCATAATTATCCACTCGCAAAAGGACGCCGGCTTCGATGAGGAGGTGCAGCTGCTGAGCAAATTTCGGCCCGGGCGGCCCAGCAGGATCCGGCGGGTCGCCTTTGAAGAAAAAACCCTTGAACTGAATGGAGAAAATCAATGGTATTATGGGGACAATCAGTATCTATTAAAGATGCAATGGTATTATAGTATCCCCATGGGGACCAGTAATACTTGTATTATAGTATCCCTATAGTATCAGTATCCCATAATAATTATCATGGGGATAATACCATTGATACCATTCATGGGAATACCCTATACTATGAGAATATCATGGTATTATGGGGATAATACCTATGATACCCCCCTGAGAAAATCAATGGTATTATTATCATCATGGTATCAGTATCCCAGAATAATTATCATGGGGATATCATGTCATACCATGGGGACAATCATAATATTATAGGATCCCCATGGGGACATCGATAAAATAGCATTAATGGGACATGATACTAGCAACATCATGGGGACAATCGTAATCAACCATAGATTTCATATGATTATCTAATGGGGATTAGCATGGAGACAATCATAGTTGGGGATTATCATATTTCGGGATATCATTAATGGGGACATGGGGACAATCGTAATATTACATACGATTACTATATGGGATGATGACTGAGATGGACCCAACTACTTCAGCTTTCTTTGGATGCGCCCGGCAGTTGTAGAAGGCGGTGTACGTCGTTGAAGGGGGAGAGCGACTCTCACCTGGTAGGCCACATTCTGAATCATTCTGATATTTTCTGTGGCTATCCTCGTTGAAGTTCAACAGAAATCCATCATTTGCCCAACTTGACCTATTTAACAATTATAGAGATGCAGAACTGTGGAAAATGCGATGCTAAATTCATGATAAATCGTTTTTACTGCATTTTTGTGTCGGTCATTGTAATCCAAACATTTGCCATTGAGGTGATATTTTAACCAAGAGGGGTGGTCGTTGACATAATCTTAAACAGAAAATCACATTTTATCGAACAAAAGATGCAGTTAAACCTTTTTATATGTGAGTGTATTTTGCACAATATTAGATATACAGTAGCTAAATGTGGTAGCCTGTAAGATAATACCAACCCTCAAGGCAACATATTGGCCGGGTAATCTGTAAAAGGATAGCCAAGGGAATTAGATACTCGCTTGGTATGCGGTGTTAAGATAGCCACGTATGTATTTCGCACAGTCATGAATGAACCCATATTTGGATTACCCTGCTGGAACTCCAAAAGATTCATGGAAAACTTATTGGTGGATGATTTTGCCATACTTCACCTGCCCACATTGAGGTTCACTTTAAAGCTGAAGAATTATTCCCAAAAACCGCAGTTGGTGAAGGGCTAATTGAGACAGAAACACTTCACCATGGCCTATTTGAACATCAAAGCCTAGCCCAACAAAAATCGAGAACCTTGGGATCAAAAGCTCACCAGAATTCAGGGGATTCTGCAGAATCTGCCGGGTAAAACTGAGGCATCCGCACCTTGTAACGCTCTTGGGGTGCGCAAAATGGTGGAAAATTTGGCGATGGAACGGGTGAGAATATGTGAGAACCAATCGGGGAGCGTATAATATCATATAATATCCACATGCCAATCTGATTGAGATATTGGTAGTATAAATCCATAAATAATATATCAATAATGGAGTATATCTTATTGATATATCCATATACTACCATTTGCGTATTTGTTTCTTAGAGCTAGTTTTACACAGAAATATACGGTCATACAGTGGGCCAAAACCCATATGATTTTGATTGATATGAATCGGGGGATTAACATCCACATATACCAGCCGCTTTGATGTGAAAGCAAGAGGGTTCCGATCTTTTGATCCATAGCCAAATTGGGGATTGACTAGCTGAATCACATTGAACATGTATAGAAAAGTGATGGACTGATTATTTTACTAATAATTCAATGTACCGTATTTCAATGATGTCAATGTACATGTTTGATTTTTGAATGATGATTAATGAATATTAATATGACTAACATTGCACGATACCACTTCGATATGATTGAATGGACATGTTTTTTGGTGCTGGTCGCGGTGGTCCAAGTCATGCCCCAAGGTGTCGCGCGTCGCGCACCTTTTAAAAACTCAGGGAATTCCCAGCCCGAGTGGCTTGAAATGTCTTGAATATCCACCATTTATAGGGGATCCTATTAAAGAAAAAACATGTGCATATAATATAATATAATATAGTATATAATATAATATAATATAATATAGTATATAATATAATATAATATAATATAATTATAATATAATTATAATATAATATAATATAATATTATATAATAATATAATATATATATATGTATATATTATCTATGTTATGTATATAGTATATAGTATAGGTATGTATAGGTGGTTTTCCAGCCAGTCACAGCCAGCCCTGTTTCTTTCGTGAAGGCTGTTGCAAGCATTTGACATGTCAAGCCAGGTGGGGTCAACACGGCCTGCACCGTTACCTCGTGTCATGGGCCTCAGTCCAAGCCAAGAATCCTCCGGAAAATTGGATAAGTCATGCCCCTCATAGGTCATGATATGTCATGATTTGCTAAAGGTTTTGATAGTTTTGATGTGCTTTTAATACATCATTTTGTTGGGATCATCGTTTTTGGCCTTTCTGGTTGTCCGGATCTTCCTCACTGTAATACGCTGTCCTGGTTGCGATGTTTTTTTGCGGCCGAGGTATGAGTTCCTCTCCGGAGGGGATGTTTTCCAGAGGCTTCACAAGAGCAAGAGAGGGCTGAGCTTCCCGTGGCATGAGAGGCGGGAATTCCACGACGAAAACTCGGGGAAGCCATTGGAATGATGAGATGACATAGGTTTGAATGATTTTTCTGAGATATCTTGAGTTCTAAATTGCACCTTTTTTGGATTCGAGGTGTCATTTTTTTGGGGGGGCGTAGTTTGGGAAAAGTTGGAAAAAGACGCGGCTCATCACTTTACATCAGCTTGTGCCAACACTGCTGCAAGCATCGAAATCCAACACAAATTGTTTTTCTCCGATGAATGATCTTTGGAACATTATTATCATCATTGAACTGGTTGGTGGTTTGGAACCTTTTTTATTTTTCCATAGCATTGGGAATGTCATCCTGCCAACTGACGAACTCCATCATTTTTCAGAGGGGTGGGTCAACCACCAACCAGTGAACAATTCGAGACCTGAGTACTGGGGGATTACTGTGGTATACCGCTACGTCCCACGAGTTGATTTTAAATATGATCCTTACCTAGTGCAATCCACATCCTGCCTTTGATATGCATCAAACTGGTGATTTTCCATCCCATGGCATTGGGCCAAATCTCGCTGTTGAAAAGTTCAGATTCCAGTTTTGATGCTTTCAAATTTCCCATATTTTTTCCCAAACAAATTCTATGCCATAAATTCCCATCAAATTCCAGTTTTGATGGTTTCATTGCCATTGATCCAACCAGTTTCTTTCTGGCGCAGATTGTCCGTGCTACTGGATGCTGCCAGTGGACTCTCGCACATGCACAATGCCACGCCTAAGGTCCACTGCTGAGAGATGGATCCAATGCAATCAACAACCAAGGCTTTCATGCATTTGTTGATGCACGAAAAATATCAAACACGTAACTTATTTATACATATATAATCATATATATATGTGTGTAAATAATAGACACACACATATTATAATATGTACATATATATATGTTTATTTGTTTATATATGTAATAAGGTATTGTTTCTATGTTTTTTTCCCGGTTTGATATTAAGTTTCATCAATGTGTCCGACTGTCCATGTTCCCAACGTTGGAGTCCCACGGGCCTCGATACTGGAGGGTAACCGCCTCAGTTCAGCATATTGGGCCCCCCAGTTATGTTTGTTGCTTTATAAGCCCATCGAAATATAGTTCGATAGTTATTGGTAGTAAACCAACTTAGATAGTGTATGATAGTTACACTACGAAAAAAACAACTTATAAACTATCATGCCACTAATGGTTATTTGCGTATCAAAGTTTTCGTATAGTTACATTGCCCAACTTAGCTAACTATGGGGCCCCATCCTGTATTACATGGCCAAATATTTATATATTTATATATTTATATATGTGTGCGTGTGTTCTCAACGGGAGCACCCCAAATTCCAGCTGCGGTTGGCGTCCCAAATTGGTTCCCCAACAGCTGAGGCGTTCCACCGCGACATCAAATCGGCCGGGGCAGCCGGCCGATCTCCGGGATTGAGGAAAGACAAACATTTGGAGGTATAGTCGTATGCTGTCATCACTTCCCATAATATCATTGGCTTGTATCTAGCCCATAACTACTAGCCAAAACTACCTACCAGCCATACCTAGCTTGGTTTCCAACTGGGCAACTGTAACCCGTAATCATCCAGGCTTGACACTTCGCTCAAGATGGAGCCAGGAAAAGTTCAGCGTCATGCTCACCCCACTTCTTCAGATTCAATCCGCTATTCGCACAATAGTTCAGAAGAAATTCCAAGATATCACAGATCATCAGATGATGCTTACTTTATACTACATCATATATTACTGATTATATACTTCAGTATTTCATACTATCTCCGTAAGTTTCACTCCTTTTTCCCGGGGTGAAATCATCCCACAGATGACCACAGAAAAAGCAGCGCTGCGACATGCTGCGACTGCGAGCCATGTGCTATGCACCACCTGCGCGACGCAGCACGCCCGCTCCGGGCGTCTCTGGGCCGGTGGAAATTCAGCGCCGCAGAGGTGAGAAAAAGAGGTTTTTCCGGCCTTGAGACTCGCAGATCTATCAATTGGATGGTTTCAGATCGTTTATTTTCTGTTTGTAACTTGAAATAGCTATTTGCAATATAGGAAAGATGGGGGTTGGGGATGGAGAAATATAATTCCTGTGTCTATTTAAAATTTCTTGGGTAAATTAAAGACAGTAATTGTTTTTCAACTCTTAATTAGTAATTAATTTAAGGTTACGTCGTGAAGACATTTGACGCTGCACTTAAAACCAATTCTTTCAGTGATGGGTGAATTATGATCATTGCATGTTGTTTACAGTATCTTGATAATCAAACTATTCTATTAGTTTCATGTGTTTTTTTAACAGTATTAATGTCAACCCCGGAATGAAAAAAAACTGGTTTATTAATGTTTATTAATTAGTGGGGTATTCCTCCAATAGTCATGGTTTGATACTTAAACGGTACCTTCCCAATTAAACAGCTAATCCTGGGGTTTATTGATCCAGGGTTGACATTATCATGAAAAAACATGAAAAAAGAATCCCTTCCAGGGTCAACGGCTGGAGGATTTCCAGCTAGCGCAAAGCGCAAAGCGCAGGTGGGCATCGAAAGCTTCCTGGGATCCCATCCTGGTTTCGAGGCACCGCCGTGGTTTGTTGATTACCGGAGGATGCTAACATAATATGCTAACCTTAATAAATTAAAGATATAAAAGAAAGAGAAACCTATGGTGATTATCACCATGCATTAGGCCATTAGGATCCATTAGGAGTTTCTAGTTATGTTATGTCCACAGTTGTTGATGTTCTCCTCATGCATTTTGTTTTTTGGTCAGTTAAGTTATCTGAAATTCACCTGAAGCTATGGCATTTTTCCCATTGGAGATTGCCTTGTAGGTTAGACGTGTCAACATGTGCAAATCTCGTTCAAATCTTCAGTGGTATTCAAACGATCCGAGGCTATATTGAATCATTTGCATATGATTGTTGCAATATTGTTAGTTATATTTAATTGTTACAATATATATATATATACTGTTTTTATCTACAATATATCATGATCATTATATATATATATTAGACACGAAAAAAACAAACTCATGTTTTTTGTGAAAATCATTGTCCATGTGGCACTGGTCTTTTTACGGAAAAAAAAAAAAAAACAGTCGACCCTGGTTTTCCAGCACCCAAGAGGCCAAGTTTCAGCAGTTTCCCTACGACTTCTTGGTGCGGGAACTGGACCGAGAACAGCGGCCCATTCAGTGCCCTGGCCGCCGGCCCTGGCCTCGTTGCTGATTCGTTGGGTGTTCGAATGGGCAACATCCGTATCCATGTGAGAACAGGAAAGATACACATAGAGAAACATGATGATGTTAGCATATGTTAGCACAGTTTTACGTATTTAGAAGGATGTGAAGCTGGTTCTTGTTTTTCTCGGGTTTGTCTCAATGTGATAAAAGCCGTAGAAACCATCTGGAAAGCTAATGGTAAAGTGGAGCATCCCAGATACCCTGAGGATGGGTGTGTCTCAAAATGGAGATACCGGGTCGGAAAAATGGCGGTTTCAATCGGGAAAATTATGGAGTCATGAGGAACTCATGGATTTAGGGCTAAGAGATGGATATCAGACAAACTCATATAACAGTGGGTAAGATATGTCATAAGCTGCACATAGCTGCACTACGACACACGAATAAACCACTGACTGATGATCTTGAATGACTTTCACATTGTGGGAGGTTGGAACCACCAATCCAACGTCCAGTCACAACGGTTCAGAGAGTGGACAGTTTCCAGGCTTTATTTGGACGAGCCTGGGTTGACTAGCTCAATGCTCCCATGTGCCAAGCGGCTCGTGTTTTCAAACTGTTCTACTCTCCTTCTTCAAATGTTTGCAAAATGGCTATTTCCAAACAACGATTACCCTCTGGTAAACTAACATAGCTATTGAAAATGGCCATTTATAGTTTATAGTGAGTTTTCCCATCAAAAATTGTGATTTTCCATAGCTACGTTAAATTACCAGAGCTAAAACGACCAACTGCCGAATGTTGCCGAATTGGCTGATTGAAGCCAGGTTTGCGGAGGAGTGCGACCTGTCAAAGTTGCTGGACTTCGCACGGCGACAGCCCCCGGAGGAGAACGTGTGGTTCCTGGGGCCTACTGGGGAGGTGGGCGGTTCGAACCCCAACTACCAGAGTTAGCTATTCCTGGGCGATTTTGGAGACATAATATGAAGAACCTATGGGGATCCTCTACCAACTTGAATCAAGTTTTTTTGCAAAGAGTATTGGTGGACAACCCTTTAAAAAAAAAAGTCCACCAGCTTGAAGCCGTTTCAGTAGGGAAACCATGTCTTTCTGGGGCCACCCATTTTGAGAAGCACCTTGGCAAGGGTGAAGTGGCACCTACTTGGATCAGAGGCATTCTATGTCAGATATGGAGTTGGATAAGGCATATTTTGGTGCTTTAAAGGCTTTGAAGAACAACCACGGGAAACAATGATAAAAGCACAATGGGGGATAGACCGATAGATGGTGGTTTCTCTAGTCCTTTCAGTTACAGTGGGGGGATGATGATTCCCAACGAGTATCTGGTTGGTGGTTTGGAACATGGCTTTTATTTTCCCCAAGAATTAGTTGGGTTTTGTTTGATCCAATCTGACGAGCATTTTTTCGGGCTCGAGTGGATCAACCACAAGAAAAAAATCAAGATGCTGAAATTGGATGTGGAGCACTGGATATGGTTTACGAGTGGAAGATATAAAGATATATAAAGTGTCTCGCCACTTTATTCTATAGGTGATGTTTCTGACCGGTTTTGCGGGGCTCTCAGGATGTCAAGCCAGGGGCTATGATCTCCCAATCTGTGGTGAGGTTTACCTTGGTGAAGCGTGAACAGACCACACCAGAGGCCCTGGCGAAAATTGCCAGACCGCTGGCTGCAAGAAGTTCTGCCGCTCTCCAGTGAGAATGGAATGTTTTTTTGACGCCTCATTGCCAGTTTGTTTTGAGGCTGCACAATTGGGGACACCATTGGGCACCAATCATTAAAAAACCATGGCCGAGGATGCCTCCAAGTTTCACCGAAGATCTTCAGTTTCTGCGGAATGAAGGACCTGCTGCGGACGGGATATGAGCTAGTGTAGTTTGTGTGTGCTTGTATACATGAACTTATTTACAGCATTGTCACGATAGTATCACTTCGTATCACTAGGTTAGATGTTTTTTCACTCTTGTGTGTTGCGTATGTTGATGGGTGATCTTCATGAATGGTTATGAGCAGTGGTGGCAACAAAGGAATTTTGGCCATGGGTATAGCGAGTGATTCCACGACAACACCGGGAATGTTTTGTACCTAACCAAGCGAAGTATGTAGCTGGCCGTTCTAGTTGCAACGGGCTGAAACCCGGTAAAGGCAATCATTCCAATATTTCGACGATTTGAAATGCACATGGACCTGGTTGGTGTTTTGGAACATTCGAATTTTATTTTTCCATTCAGTTGGGATTGTCATTATTCCAACTGACGAACTCATATTTTTTAGAGGGGAAGGGCTCAACCACCAACCAGGGAACCTTGTGGGCTAGACAGTCTGATTGGTAAAAACCTATGGCTTCACTTAGATGATCCAACTCTGGCTGATCCCAATGGCATTTCTAATGGTTCCCAAAATGACTGGTAGCCGCCATGGTCGTTTCTCACGGAACATTTTGCAAAAACTGCTATGTAATTGTAATATTGCATAGTTCTTTTTCTCATGTTCAATAGTTCAATGTTGATTTTCCAACGCCTTCTACCAGATATCGTTGTTGAAAAAAAACACACACACACACACAGGGAGCATTTAAGCCATTCTCCCACAAGATATGACAATTTTGCCAATTTTCACCCATCCAAAATCACCAAAATTGATAGGTGCAGTATGTTTCAGCCATCCAAAATGCCCAACCAATCTGGGGCCATCAGCCCTCCACGTCACCAGTCGCACACCCCGGCGCCACGAGGATCGCTGGGGCATCACCACGCAACGCGTCTCCTTCGCTGCCGGCAGCGTCGACACCGGGGCGCAAGAGGTGAGGTCCCTGGAGGCTCACGGTGGGATTTTTTTTATGGTGATAGTATGTTTGTTTGCATTTAAAAAAATGATAGTATATTTTTAATGGCTGTTTAATGGACTTTGTTTGGATTGAAATTGAGTTTGAATTGTTTTTTTTGATAATTTGATGGATTGTTATAGGACTTTAAATGGGATTGAATGATATTTATCTGGCTCTGTATTGGGATGTATTGGGATATAGTAGAACCAACCAACTTGATAGGTAGTTGGGTTTGTCTGAAATGGGTATATTATATATAAATATATATATATATCCCCAAATAGCAGTTTGTGTGGGAAATATTCGGAAAGATCATGAACCAGTGGATTTTGGGGTACACTATGTTCAGACAAAATCAGACAAACCCATATTCCAAATACTGTATATCAAATAATGGGACGTAGAATTGATGGCTATCTAGTTGGGATTGGATAATTATATTGGGTATGTCATGAGGATGGGGCGGTACTAAGCATTTTATAACGTGGAGGACCTATCGTATCCAACAATGAATGGATATAGTTGGTATAAAGTGGGCAATGATGGAGAATTGATGGTTGATAGTGGATAATCATGGATAATCTGGAATATAGAATGGGATATGACGAAGCAACTACCCTACTTGAAGGTATGGCTTTGTGTGAAATTGGGGATTGACCACCACGCATACAGCCATTTGGGATGGTTTAACCTTCGAAAAGATCATATTTTTATGGCTGAGTTGCATATAGATGCATGCAATACATATAATTACATCATTCATGCATCAATAAGTGTTTGTTGGGATTGCGTCAGGCGTCGGCCAACAAATCAATCGAGTACCTTCGATAAGCATCAACCATAGATATTCCCATCTTAACCATAGATATTCCCATATTAAATATTCCCATATTAACCATAGAGTTTCCCATATTAACCATAGATATTCCCATATTAAGCATAGATATTCCCATAGTAAATATTCCCATATTAACCAAAGAGTTTCCCATATTAACCATAGATATTCCCATATTAACCACTATCAGCGTTGTTCTTTTACAATATCCCCATCAGCATTTGGGGACCGTTCTGTTGGAACTCGGGCAGGGCCTTGACCGGAGCTGGATCAAGATTGGTGACCTTGAAGCGAAGCCAGCGAAAGCTCGCTTGGGTACCTGGGACTGGAACGCTGGAGCTGGGACGGTGAAATGAATGGCCATGCAACAGGAACCGATTGATTGGAGGTACCTACCATATATAAGGCCCATTTTTTAGGCCTAAATTTCAGGGGATATCCCCACAAAATATGGCCTAAAATATGGTACTAACGTACCTCCAATTTAGGATCCTGAAATTCCCATTGATGAAAGCGTGGAAGTAGCCTGCTTGGCACACATTTTCAGTTTGCGAACTTGAAAATGGCCTAGTCGAAATAGTGGATTTACCCATAATAAAAATGGTGATTTTACATAGTTATGGGACAGTTTACCAGAGGGTAGCTGTAGTGGATACTGAGACTGAATGGTTGGATGATGGATGATGATGGATGTTGACTCCATAGTACTGTCATGTACTGTAAGGCAGATTTAGGCAGCCAAGATCTGTGAAGTCCTGATGATTTGGGGTATGCTGGTTGTTTGCCCCATTAGCATTGTGTTGTTATTGTGGCTCAAGTGATGCTCAGCGGGCTATACCCCAGACTTATCCACCAGTCAAATACGGCTCATATGCTAGCTACATTTGATATACATTCATAGCATCTTTACCGTATACCACAACACCCAAAGATTTTTCGCAATCATGATAGGAATCATGATGGATTTGCCACCATCAGTGCATTATTCAAATTACCCTCCGGTAAACTAACATATCTACGGAAAATCACCATCTTCAATAGCTAATTCAACTATAAATTGATCATTTTCTATAGCTGTCTTAGTTGACCAGAGGGTAATCACCATTAATTCACAGCCATTAATATCCACAATTAATCACCATTACTCACCAGTAACCACCATTCAACATAGATATTCCATGATATTAATCACCATTAATCACCATAAAATCATCATAAAATCACCATAAAATCACCGTAAAATCACCATTAACCACCATTAACCCCCATTAATCACCATTAATCACCGTAAAATCACCATTAACCACCATTAACCCCCATTAATCACCATTAATCACCATAAAATCACCATTAACCACCATTAACCCCCATTAATCACCATTAATCACCGTAAAATCACCATTAACCACCATTAACCCCCATTAATCACCATTAATCACCATAAAATCACCATTAACCACCATTAACCCCCATTAATCACCATTAATCACCGTAAAATCACCATTAACCACCATTAACCCCCATTAATCACCATTAATCACCATAAAATCACCATTAACCACCATTAACCCCCATTAATCACCATTAATCACCGTAAAATCACCATTAACCACCATTAACCCCCATTAATCACCATTAATCACCATAAAATCACCATTGGTGAAGGACGGCCCAAGGCAGCCACGGCGGCAACGGCTTCACCGTGCTCCTGCGGGACCTGGCGGACCCCCAAAAAACGGCCAACGATGCCGTGCTGTCCGCGGCGTCCGGAGGCGCTGGTCGGTGGTGGGTTACGTTACGGTACCGGGGGATTTACCATGTGGTAACTCCACCAGAAACAGTGGTTCATAATGGTTAATATTGGGATGATAAATGGTTAATAATGGTTGATAGTGGTTAATATTTGCCAATGGTGTAAAAATTTGATTAATAGGGGTTAATAATAATGGTTAATATTGGGATAATATGGGTTGATAATGGTTGCTGTAATATATGGCTTAATAATGGGATATAAATGGGTTAATAATGGAATATATTGGGGATAATACTAGGCCAATCTTAGATGGGTACTTTAATCCTTTAGTCTTTTGATATCAATGGGATTATCTACGTTCACCAGCTAAGAATTTAATTATTTTTTTGTAGGGTATCTAAGATTGGCACTGAATATGGGTTAATCATGGGATATAAATGGTATATATTGGGATATATGGGATAATGTAGGGGTTATGATGGCTTAAAGATGGTTGATATGGTTAATACTGGATAAGTAATGCCTATTTCTAGCCATGATCGGCCATATATCGAATGTTATCAACCGATAGTACTATATAATAATTGTGGGTAAGAAGAATCAATGCCGGTTGAAAATGGATAATACTAGTGAATGGTTGATTGATGGATGATTGTTGGTCCTATTTTCATGGAGGATTTTAGGATCACGACTCCTCTAGTATCCATTTGAGGCTTCATATTAACATCTCAAACCCACATCCTTTCCCATTTGGGTTGCTTCAATTCTGATTTACCTTGATGCATGTCCCCGTCGTGGAGAAATTCGTCATGTTCCCCAAATTGAATATGTTGGCAAATCGACCTCCCTCTACAGCAGTGCCCAAGCATTGGCAAATCGTCCATAATTGGTTGAAAGGTAAAACATGTCTTCTTTTGGTGGCAGAATAGGATGAAATAAGCATCCTGAGCATACGACCTTACAAGCTATTAAGTTATGATAAGCCATTAAGCTATTATGGAGAAACATACATTTTAACTTTCATACAATAGTATATACACATCCCAAACATACATAAACATACGATCTAACACAATTCACACTACAAATAAAGATACAACATTTCAATCAACAGGTCTTCCATGGTCTTCCTATATGGGTGTGTCTGAAAATAGTGTACCCCTTTTTACCCAATGGTTTTGCTGATCATTATCCCGTTTTTAAATGGCTATTTCATTGGGAATATACCCTATTTTCAGACAAACCCATATGGCTTTAGATGCTTATCTGGTTGGTGGTTTCAAACAATTGTTTATGTTCCATAATATATGGGATAATCCTTCCATAATATACCCAGACAAACCCATATGATCTCTGGAGGCTTTCCCAACTACTTCGGCCTCCAGCGTTTCGGCACCGGGCAGCAGCCCTCCTCGTCGCTGGGTCTGGCGCTGCTCCGCGGCGCGAAAGCGGAACTGGTGATGCTGGCGCTGGGCGCGCGGGCGCGGCATGGCAGGGCCTTGGAGGCGGTCGTTGGGGCATGGAAAAACATGGGAATTCATAGTGGTTAGTATGGGAATATCTATGGTTAATGGTTGTTAATATTGGTTAATAGTGGTTAATAGTGGTTAATGATTCATGATTGGTAAAAATGGATGAACTATGGCCATATTAATTAGACATGGGATTTTCATGGGATTTAGTTGCGGTTATGATTGCATGTAAAACTAGTTGTGTGTCTGAACATGTGGTATACCTCCTAAATAACAATGTAACCATCAAATTTGGGAATCCCTAATTTATTGGATCATATTGGTAAATCATCTACAAACTATATTGGATGAAATAACCATAATACCAAATCATTTAATATGGAACATGAGGTGAAACTTATCAAAATGGGCATAATTAGATTGGTAAAACATGTGTAAACATTAGCCATAATTTTCCACAATAATTATGTCATATTGAAACATATTTATTGTAGCTAAATCATCTTCAAATATAGATACATTTGTCCAATTAGAAATATCTTATTTTATATAGCATTAGCTTGATATTGGCTGATATGGTTTTGCCTGCCATCTATGTTTAGTAGGTAAACCATTCACAAAATTTTACAAACAGGTTTATAATTGTCCATGTCTATGTTAAATCACCTGAGGATAACGTATGTTTGTTCTCAAGGAATTTGAACAAAATGGGGCAGGTACGGAAAAATTGAGCGGAAAACAAAGGGGGTTCGTAGAAGACACAATTTTGAGGCAAAACCACATAATGGGGGAAAAAAAATATTATAACGACCCTATTTTGGAACGGAAGATACTGTAGTAGCCTATTCCTCCAAAATACAAATGAAGTAAACAGTAAAAATGTATGTGTTTGCTGGGAGTAGCGTCAACATGGGGCACGGCGGCCTCGGCCCGTCCAAGTCACCTAGATCCGCCAGGCATTTCAGGCAGCTCAAGAAGGGCGCTTTGAAGCAGCTTTAGAGATGACGCCTTCCTCCTGTTTGCAAGAACGCGCTGTGGCCCGGTTTGCCGTGGGAGCGAACCAAGGAGCTAACCTCAGATTTTACCAACCAAATGATCATTATAGCTATCATAGATATGCATAGATATGCATAGGTATGCCACATTACATCCTCCAACTAGCTGCTAATACTTGGCTATTCGCGTTGATTGTGAGTGCAAAGAACATCAGAATGCTGGGTGGTAAGATCTCCCACCGTTGTCGACGTGGTTCTTCACCCTCGTTCTGGCAATACTGAAAATGATAATGCGGATTATCTTATCCACTATTGTTATCCATTATCCTTTTTTTTGGATGACAGGTGAATGCAAGATGAGTGCACTTTGTTTTTACACACCTTTCATCCGCCCACACCTACCTTCACATCCTTCAGTCATATCATACTCCATATTATCCCATATGGTGTTCCCATATGTTATTCCCCATAATTGCTGGTTAAATCCTGTATGAAAACATACAACCCAACATGGATTATGCCATCATTTATCCCATGTTGAAATATGTTGAATGCTCATGAATGCTCATCGTGTATCATTTCCCACCATTTATTCGGTGATATCCGCTGCAGATTAGTTATCCCAACCGATAGTATCCATTAGTTACATCCAACCAGCCGTTATAATGACACAAGGAATATAATATACACTCCATTAGTTATATCCATTATTTAGTTCTATCCAACTCCACTCTACCTATCCCATTTAACCATTTATATTCAAACTCCTTTATCATTCTCCACCATTTAACAAAGATAAATCAATGATACCTACCACAATGCCCACAGGTTCTTCAACATCAACCAATTGTCCCTTAGTTAATTATTTCCAACCAACCATGTTAACATAGGAATATATAAACTCCGTTAACTTTGCTATCAACACTAGTCCATTCTATCCAATATGGTACCTCATTTCAGTATAATATAATCTGTTTACATAATATTTATCCAATATAAACATGTTCAACCAATGATATCCGCATTTAACCAATATATATATATTATATCTATCTATCTATCTACCTACCTACCTATCTATCTATCTATCTATCGATCTATCTATCCATATAAATCAATGAGATCAGTCATATAATCATAATATAGGGAAAACCCCACTAACCTTTGTAACTATAGGGAATATCAACTCAAATCCATCATATTATATCACATTAAAACCATGTTTACTTATATTTGTTATATAGTTAAGTTATATCCATGAATCATATCCAGTAGAAGTATCTATATTAATCAGTTAGTTATATCCAACTTCATTTCACCATACGTATATTTCACCAGTAGTTATATCCCACTTCACTTAAACAAAAATAAAACATCTATTTCACCAGCCTGACATATCCCATTAATTCCCATTACATAGGCCTTATATATGGTACCTCCAATGGGTTGGGGCCCATTGACCGCCAGGTTCTTCAACATTTGGTGCACTCACCCTCCGACTTCGCTGGCGCCGTGAAGGCCGTCCCGCGTCACCTGCGTCTGCTCTGGTGTCGATCGCTGGCGTCACAGCTGTGGAACCGCGTGTTGTCTCTCCGTGCCTTGGGAGATGTTGGGATAAGTTGTGGGATATATATATATATATATTATATATATATATGTAATATGGATTAATATGATGTAATTTGGATTAATATGATTTAATATTGGCAAAAATTGGTTGCAGGTTTGTGAATGGGACAAATTTCTGACAAAACCATGTATTTATATATTGTATAGATAGGTTGCAGGTTTGTGAATGGGACAAATTTCTGACAAAACCATGTATTTATATATTGTATAGATAAATATGAATTAGCCATCTTGCAGGAAGTGTTTGTGTGTTTTGGTTGCCCGCAGTTTCAAGATAATTGTTCATGTGGACGTATTTTGTTTCTTTCCATGTCAGCTTTGCCATGGTGGCACGAATTGTGAGGCTCACGAGTTCAGTCCAGATTACTTCATAACGTTGAATTGTTTTCCATCCCAGAACCATTTGAAACTTACCTGCTGCAGAGGATCCCAGGAGTTATTTTCATTTTTTTCCATCAAAAAACCTAGGTTTATCCAATCGATTGGTGCACGGCCTTGTTGTTTTTTTTGGGTCATCCAAGGCATAGAGCAGAAGATGATGGAACCCTTACCCGGTGACTTGGTGCTGGACCGTTCTTCGTCCACGGCGGCGGCTGAAGAACGGCTGCGTGTGCGACCCTTGCGCGAAGGTGAGGAGAAAGACACGGCCATGGCGGAGATTTTGTGACTTGGAAGGTGAATTAGGCACTTTCAGGGCACCATAGGGCGACTCAAAGATGGAACATCCACCATGCGAAAATTGGGAAGCAAATGGAAGCAATATGGAGATTTATATTCCTCACATAGATGGCAAAAAAAATCATGGAAGTCTCCATGATGTCAGGAACCAGGACAGTCACAAATAGACATGTTGGGGGTTTTACATTGGTCAAATATGGTCAAATGATGTTATATCATACATAGTCATACGTGATTGCAGGAATTTGTGAATGCCCCAGGGTCGTTTAAAAAAAATACGGGGCATATGAAGCAATTTTTAGATGGACTTTTTGACTGGTATCCCATGGATTTTCTGGGAGTTTCAACCTTAACAATTTCATTCCTGTTGATTAGTCCTGAATTAAGTAAACCAGGCATGCGAATAGTCAGAACTGGCTGAGAGGATGCAGTTTTGGGGCTAACAGACCATTGTTTTCGGCGGGTCTTTCCCCTAAATGTTCCTTCAAATCATACCCTTGGTTCTTATGGGTCAAAGCCATTCAAAACCTATTTTGTGGGGATGAACATCCATACATCATATAAAAATCGATGTAAATCCATACTGTATCATATATGAATTCCAGTCTCCCCCTGGTAAACGTTAACAAAAACTATGGAAAGATCCACCATTGTATTAAACTATTTCGACTGGGCCATGTTCAATAGCTATGTAACAATCATTACCAGAAGGGTAATCACCATTAATTCACTATTAGCCATGAATAACCACCATTAATCTTCATTAATTCACTATTAATCACCATTAACCATAGATATTCCCATATTAATCACCATTAAATCACCATTAAATCACCATTAAGTCACCATGAAATCACCATTAACCACTGCGGGGATTTAATGGCGCCTTTTCGGCGCGACGATGCGCGAGGCTCCCGGTTTTGGGCTATGACGTGCCTGCGCCGAAGGCGCCGACGGCGCTGCAGGGCATTTACCAGCGCGCAATGGAGGAGATTGGCATTGATGGTCAGGTGAGCATGGGAAATGGTGAGTTAACCAACAAACATTGGGATTTCATAGGGACATGTCGGACATGTTGGCTGATTTATGATAGCTAAGTTGACTTATAGCTTTGTTAACGTGGAGCCTCATTTTGTGGATAGCTCATGATGTGGTAAACCTGACGGATCTATGGGTGGTAAGCGGTATTCATATCCCAAAATGGATCCTTAAATGGCTGGTTTGTTTACAGGTTTTGATATAGGACTTGTATGGACTTTGGCAAGTGGATGTGACTGATTGATGTGATACGGATTTCACTCTTGACTTTTTTTTGGGCAAAGTGTCTAAGCGCTGGCCAAGCATGTTGCCAAGCCACATCATACATATGCCATATGCCAGCTATTTTGACGTTGACCAGGGTGATGGGGTCCAGTAGTCCAGTACTTCATCCATCTTCATCTCCAGGTCTTTCGCAAGCCCGAGTCTCCGGATGACATTTGGATGTCCGGGGACTATCGCCCTGCCATTGGCCAATTCTCCGGGCTCAGTTGCTGGATGGAAGTTGAGAGCTGTCCTGCTATGGGGCCCCAAAAATGGAAGAGATCACGAAACCAGGCTGTTTTGGTGGTCATTATTAGGGGAAATGGGGCTTATAGTTGTTAAATCGAGTTGCACTTTTTGCATTCATTATAGCTAGTATATCCCATTATATCCCACATGACTTTTTCCTTCACATTTTAAAGATTATTCCAATGAGATCCCAGCATATACCATTTTCCCATGTTGATTCCTATCTGGTTCCTGGCTTGGAAACATTTTGATTTGTCCATATATTGGGAATGATGGGAATGTCATCATCCCAACTGACATGGCTATTTTTGTACACGGATTGCCATGGCTATCCATGGCTTTGATGAGGCCATCGTTTCATCCCCAGCTCCCCCCGTGCACCGTTGATCCCCAACGACCTTCACGGCTCGCTCCGGCGTCCGCGCCGTGACGCCGCGGACGGCAGCCGTCACGGCAACGGCACGGCGCTACTGCTGGAGTTTGGGCTGCCGAAGGCGAGCTACGCCACGGTGGCCATCCGCGAAGTCATGAAAATGGCGAAGTCACTGGGGGTCGGGGATCTGGTTGGTGGTTTGAGGTCATAAATTGCTGGTGATTACTTGTAATTATACATGTAATATCATGTAATTACGGCATCTGAGGCATTTTGTTGGAGGGGATTTAGCATTGGGGCCTACTTGGAGGTTGTTTGAATGAACTATCCATTTTCACGGGTCCTGAGGCATTTTGAACCATGCATATCATAATACCCATATGGCTGCGGTTGGGATGGATGGGTGGCATGGTTGATAGAAATAGTGGAATAGAATCAGGTCAATCTGTGATAAAAAACAAAAAATAAATCTTAAGCATGTTTTGTTTGTTTTGCCTGATTGGATGTTGAGCACATATCTGTATACTGTGTCATTCTGAGATTAATGGAAAATCTCCAGAATTATTATTTAGTCATTATCATTAACATCAAAAATATTATTAATGACTATGTTTGATTAACATTTGCTACGGTGTTTCACGCTTCATTCATAGTCATAGTCACATCAAAGCTACAGCATGGCGCCGGTTTGGGACCAGCGGCAACCATCGGCCAAGGCCAATATCTTGTTGGACCGGCACCACACGGCGAAGATGGCGGACTTTGGCTCGGAAAGCTCAGGGCTGGGCTGGGGAGAAAGTTGTGAATCCCATCCCCTACATGGGGGTTTCCTAAAATAGGGCTACCCCAATAGCTGGATGGTTTATAGTGGAAAATCCTATTAAAATGGATGATTTGGGGGTATCCCCATTTTAGGAAACCTCGAGACATACCCTCCGGATCCTTCTGGTAAATTAACATAGACTCCGTGACTGCACACCAATGTTTAGTGGACACTAATCTTCTAACCCCTATCTGGCAGGGTTTATGTTGATTTACTGGAGGGTAACTTGTATAGCAAGATTAATGGGGTGTTTCTAGCATGTTATAGGAGAACCTAGGAAAACAATCTATTAGTGGGTATTAATCAGACTACATAACACAAATGTAGATGTATTACCCCATCCCCGTCCATACTAAATCAAACACCCTTGTATGGTCCCAAATCAAGCATTGTTTCTGGGGGGAGTTGTTTTATATGAACTGGGTAATGTTTTTTTAGATATTTTTCGGTGAAAGCCATGATGAACCCCCGATTTTTGGGAGTAAACAGCATGCGTGTAAAAATGTTGCCTTAAGATCAATATTGATTGAGCAATGCGGATGTTGGAGTGGACATGTTGGGAAGGTGATGGACCACATTTGAAAGTCTGGGAGTAGGGAAATTGTGAATGAAGGGTTCAAACACTTGGATTTTGAGTTTTGTATAAAAGCACCTGTGCTGAACCCAATTTCTCACATACAATCTGACAGATGACTGGTTCAAGAGACACTGGGCACGTGTCAGCGTTACTTTCTCTCGGAGGATTAGGACCACAAGGCAAATAAAGATAAATAATACTGACAACTTTAATCATGTTTAAACCACTATCAACCATTATGTAACCGTCAAATATATTGACAACTATTGACGCCTATTAATCACCACTATATCCACTATGAGTTTCAACACAACCGCTGTTCTTGGTCCTTTTTTCTCAAGGTCCTACGGTTGAAACATGTTGAAAAGGTCGTAAAATTCAATGGTGTTTGCTAAAAATGTAGTCAGACTTTGAACCTTCAATCTCTCAGTAGTTGGTTGTAGCTCTGAAAGGGAAAGGTCATCTATTTTTTGATGCTTTTTGGCCATGGTCAACAAGGGTAGTTGACAAGCCATCCTGCACCAGTTGGGAACTATGAAGGTAACTATGAAACACTGCAAATAATGGGACTTTTTATATAATGGGGTGAACCATCTACCAACTGGTGCAGGATTTCGCATCCGTGTCTTTTGTCGCTCACAAGTCCTTTTTGGCTCACAGCCGAGAGTGTCAAAAAACATTCAACATTATATACACAATAATAGGCTTCCCAACTGGATATTGTGGAATATACTCCAGCTACAAGCCGGGGACCGCTTATAAGATGAACAAAATGGGTAAACCTTGCTAAAGTATAGATGAAATGTTGTCATTGTTTTCCACAAATGATGGGCGGCTATATCTTCCTGCCAAGACTCAGAACTGAACTTCTTCTCATGGCATCGTAGGGTCCAGGTTGACAATGTGACCTTCGAATGTTTGAAGTCTAGTTGGCAAAGTGACTCCCCATTTGGTCAAATTGAGCGTTACGCAATTTTTTGGACCATGTTGGCTTCTGGTTACATTTCTGAATGAGGCCTTGTTGTTGTCGGGTTGCTTTTTGTGGCAGGGTTGCCACAAAAGATTTTCCATGATTTTTCCCACATTTTTCAGAACTCATAAATCAAAACAAATCTGGTGGCATTCCGCGTTCCCACTGTCTACACCCGCAATTCTGTGGAACCCGTTTTGTTTTTGGTTATGCAATGCTACGCACCTTTGGCCTTGATGATTTTCCCCTGCATTTCATGAGGCCAGTCATGGATTGTGCTGGGCCCCAAATATATAATAAAGGTTAGTTTGTTGCGAACTAAAGAAAATAATCCATCAGGTGTTTAGCAACCACGCTCAAATATGCAATCCATTGACTATATGTCTCACTTTTATCACATGATGAATTTCGTTCACTATTCAATTAACATACTAACATCAGTTTAACTATAGCTATATAGTATCCAATAAACACAAACATCATATTACACTAACAACATAAATAGATCAGTTAACATCTAATAAACACTAACATCATACTAACACACTAACTAACATCCATGTCCAGTGATTTCCTCACTTTCCGAAGATCGCCACGCTCCCATGTCGCTGGAGCGACGACCCGTCAACCGAGCGGTGTTGAGGGCGCGGATGGTGCAGCTGTTGGGGCGCCAGGCACCAAGAGAGGCCGTAGATTTTTTGGGTGGAAATGACTGTAGCGATAGTGTGGGAAAGCCAATACCATATAAAATCCTATTTGGGATCCATAATGATGGGAAGAAACACTTTCATATGGGTTTGTCTGAAAATAGGGGATACCAATAAATAGCCATTTCGATAGAGGGAACATGATCATAAACCATTGGAATTGCCTTCTTGACTCGTTGTTTTATTATGTTTATTTGGCAACTTGGAGTGCAGCTAGTCCGGGCAAATGGGAACATCTTCAGACGGGTCAAAGTCCATTACCCCATTCCATACCCGTTCCCTGACCATATATGCTATGCCACCGGGTGCCACCCCAAAAGCCTAAAGATAAAAAGACTTTCACCATGTAAAGTCCCAATTCTAAATGCATCAGGAAACATACTGAATGATAGTAACACATACTGAAAACATAGTGTTTCTTTTTGAATTGGATCATATCCTTGCATCTTAAAACGTTGAATATATATGATATATGTATACGATATATATATATGATATATATATATAGATAGATGATATACTTTGAATTCAAAATCTAAACCTATCTACTTCGCCAATGATGACGCTTCAAACCTTTGGCGCAAAAAAGGCGTCGTCACCTCCTTGGGCGCTGGAGCTTTGGGGTCCCATCGCCTCCTTTCTAGGCGCCGGAGTCCATGGAAAATCCCCAAAAGATGGGATTCAAATGGTGCCCCAAATGATGGATGTAGGAACCTAGAACTGAAGATGTTATTGAAGATATTGGTTAGTGATGGTTACAATTGGTTACTAATGTGTAAGTCATGATGTGTCATTGAAGTTTTGGGAAAGATGAGTTTGGTGGCCATCGAACTGAACACTGGGGCACCGCCTAGGCTGCAAACATATTACTTGAACTGAACACGCATCGACCATCTCCAATTGTGAAACAATGTTCAAAACAATCCATTTATATCATAGTCACACATATATATATATATATATACATATACATATACTACATATATATACACATATATTTGTATATACATATATATACATATATATATATATATACATTTATTTATATGCATATTTCAATATCCATTTGTTAATCAGGTCCTACAATTCTGGTTGGGACGTGGCAACATGGAGAGACAGCAGCGTTGAGTACAGTGGATGCTATGTGAAACCGCTGAATGATTATCAAAAAATGAAATTGGCTCCGAGTGGGTGGTTAGTACTTAACATGACAACATATAGTGACTCTAGTGAGTGGTTAACCCCACCCATCTCCAACCCCATTTGTGGATGTGAGACCCATGTGATTCCTTTACATAGCGAACGTGGCCCTTGTCAGATGTGGACTTGCCACCGGAAAAGGCTTTCAGCATCAAGATGGCACAAGGGCAGGAGAACACGTAACCAAAGCAGCCATGCAGCAATCACATTGAATTGTTGAATTGTTGCAATATATCCATGTAAGCCCGCTACTTCTGACTGGCCACACCCTTCCGCATTTTGGCACTTCCACAGCTTGCCCTTGCTCGAAAGTCATGCGAAGTGTAAGGTAGAATCGGACCTCTGAAAGTTAGCAGAAAGATGTTCTCTTTTCTGGGGCCTAGTGATTGTGAATCACTGGGAGGCCACTTAGACTTGGTGATATTCTCTTTCATCGCGGTGTTATCATTTTTTTGCTGGTCAACTTTCAAAATACCAATGTTTCTTCATGGTTTATCCATGTTTATCCTTATCAGCTGCACATTTCGTCCGTGTGGATCCAAATATCTTTAGAGAAGACATCAGGTGCCCCCAATCCATGCTCTGAAGTAAGTATAGATCCAGGGAGAATTTCAAGTTGGTTTCGTGGGTGACTCATGGTGACCCATAGTTAGCTAATTTGGTCTAGTGTTGTATGGTAGATATCTAGAGTATTCCACAGCTCATGGAGATTATAAAATTATAAACTATGGTTTTTAACTTGGGCACAATCTTGCTCCCCATCAGTCCGGCACTGCGTGCGCGCATATTCCTGTGCAATGTCGCCCGATCCCGCTCGCGAGCACTCCTGGTCGCCGCGGGGTCTGAAGGGAACAAAGGCCAGCTTCACACCATTGCGCCTTGGAGTGCTTTGATGGGTCGTCAGGTCATGCTTACAGGATCCCTAACTGGAAGT